AATAAAGTTGTCAACGCCGATAAAGTTATTAACATTGCTTGGATTAATTAATCTAATTTTTGTTGGACAATTTACACAGCTAATTAAAAGTGACCCCCGACTTCCCCCGTGGTGTGACGGTCTCTTTCAAGTCCCCAAGAAAAGAATGCGTGTTTTTTTTTGGAATTTCTTTATGCTGGCACTGGATGGGGGCACACGCGGTATATATATGTATAGGGAATGCGACCCCAACCGCAGCTATTAGTTTCTATTACAAGCGCCGCACGGCTACTAATTGCCCATGGTCAGTGCCTGGAAATGCCTGAGACCGCATCCGCGGAAGCTGGTAGGCGAGTCGAGAAATTCACAATCTACCGACAGCAACAAAGTCATATAAATTAATATAAATGAAAAGGCTGTTTATGCATACTTCGACATTTTATCAGTGATTTATGGTGGTTCTCTGTTTAACGAAGAAAAAACACGCCATCAGCCTAGCAAGATGAAAAATGCAATCGGAAAAATATGCGAGTTGCTTATAAAATTTAAATCAATATAATATTGGAGGGTAATTATGAATAGGAAATGCTCTAACAAAAATAAATTTCCTTACTAAAAAAAAAAGAATAGTATTTATATGTAAGATAGTAAGTATTTTGCAATCAAAGACTTAAGATTGGTTATAACTCATAAATCAATTACTAAGTATTCAAAATGAATTTGGGTATATAATAAAATTATTTATTAGGTTTTAATATATCTTATTTTATTAAAAAAACACTTTTTCCTTTGCCACATACCCTTTCACTTAATAGAGAAATTGTGGAAAAATAAAATAGGAAGTTCTGACAATCATCTATTGGAATCGTCAGCCGGCAATCAGAGCGCAGTTTGCTCTTTTGACTCGACTTGGCTTATTCTTTTGCCTTATTATCAATTCGTTAGTGGAGCTTATCGGGTAATCCAGTCAGTCTGCTGGGGGAGTATTAAAAAGCGGAATGGGCCGGGCAAGGGGATTGGGACTCGAATCAGCAATCGGCAACCAGCATATTGGGAGCCAGAGCCAGAGCCCAGATGCTTCTTCGGCAGCTGATAAGAGTGAAAACTGAGTTGAGGAAATGTCACTTTTGCATTGTTTTATGCAGTGCATACAAAACACATATGACAAATCTTAAAATGTGGAAAGACCGGAGGGAAAAGAGCGCAACATAAAGTCCGAACGCGCCTTTTCCTGCCCAGCCAAAGTTTGCGATAAAATAATGGGGGGGAAAAAACTCTCCGATGCGTCGAATGCATACAAAAGATATGGCCGAGCCGATATGCAATAAAAGAATAAAAACCTACTAGATGGTGGAAAGGGGTCGGGAGAGAAAACTATGACAAACAAAGCCAAGGAAGAACAGTGGAAACTTTGGTCTTAAATGGCAAGTAGACGAACTGGCGACGCCGGCATTTTGATAAACCATAGAAAATGTTAGAACAAAAAACAATATTTAAATGAAGCTTTTTTTTCCCAATACGGAACGGAAATGCGACACAGAACCAAGGAAAGCAAAACGCAGAGACCCCCACACTCCACAAATGGCATACTTAGGTGGCTATAATTAAATTTTTTATATTTATTCTGATTAGATAAGACTTGGACTTGTAGCTTAATTTCACTAATAACTCCTCAGTGTATTGTTATGATTTCTAAGAACAGGATATATAAATGGCTTTCCTATTTAAATAATAACAATTATATGGTTTTCACTGGGTATTATATGCTCCCCTCCTTTTATACTTTTAATCCAATTTTGATAAGATAGGGGCTGACACAATAGACCCCAATCATAATTTTGATACGTAAGATTGCCTAATGTCTGTGTTAGAGTAACATTGGGGTTCCATCCCTCGGCCTTCAATCAAGATCCGATAATCACATCAAATTACACGTCTACCCAGCCCCAAAGAGAAGACAACCAAAAATACAGGCAATAAAGTTATCAAACCACTTGTGACGGTTGCCCGACAAACAAAAAAATCGAAGAATAAAATACAATCCAAAAACAAACATGTCAAGTTCTGAGAATATCCAAAAAACATGAAGACATAAGAAACGATGCGCGAGACGCGACAAATTTTCAACGCATTTATATCCGAAATTAAAAAATTATGTCTGGCGCCAGACCCGAGAACCCCTCCCAAAAAATCCGAAATGGAATCGTGAATGGCGTGCCTTCTAGGTAATTGGAAACTAAAACTGAATGGTCGCTAAAAACTTTGAGGGTCCCCGCATAGATCGTCCAGAAAATGACACGTTCCATCTTTGAGTTTGGCGCAAAGTACAGAAGACAGATAGCGATTGGCAGTGATTTGCATAATTTCGTGATTTGCATTCCAAAAAAATTGTACATGTGTGCCAGTGCGTGAATCACCCAATATGAAGGGGATTCAGAATCTTGAATATTTTCTTGGTAAGTCCACATCTAGCGTCATCTCATGCTAATTTCAATTTCATTGCTTCAATGAGTCAAGTGCGGTTCACTTTCGTTTTGATTATTTAATTCAGAAACGGGAAATACCGCCATTGAGATGGATTCTCAACCGATTTCGGGGCACTGACCTAAGCATGCAACATATTGTGAAGACCATAAGCCTCCTAATTCCCCAACAAACAACCTGTTTTTTCGAGGACAAGGAAGCCCAAGGAAGACGAACAAATAAATCTTTATATCTGATGTGTATATTTGAGAAAAGATTCAATGCATAAAAAATTTATTTAAATAGGTAAGTGTTATGCCAGTGGGATGATCATAAGCCATTGTTTAACTCTCTTGCCATTATCCATTATCTTCCATATTCGCATTCATCACACCAAAGATACATTATTCCTGTTGTGTGAAGGAATTTCTCAGATGCGTGTTCGAGTTGGCTTGGCTTGAGGTTGCAACTCAGTTTGTTTTGGGAAATAATGTCCAAACAGAGGGAATTTATTTGAATTTGAATAAAAATGTATGATACAAAATATTTATTAAATGAGCACTTATTTTTTTGATTTCTTTAAAACAGGAAGAAATTGAAGCTATCAAAATAAATACATCGCTATCAAGTTTAAAGTCGGAAATAAGTTACACACATTTTATTAAAAATAAACTTATAGCTTATCTTCAGGCTGTTATCACACTCGTTCAAACCAATGACTGTTGAAGGGTATGACTAAACACAAATTTATTTCTACTATATTTCGCTTAGATCTTCCAAGAAATAAAAATTAGGTTGATTTTTTTGAATTTTTGGCATAGCACTGCTGACTAAACCAACGGCGTAAACAAATCAAAATAGAGGGAAATTTTTTCAGAGGCCTTCAAACATGTTTGAACGGCTAAGACAGTGTACAGTGGAAGAGAGTGTAATTTGTAGATACATTTTTGATGCTCAATCTTGGTAATTGTATCTAAAACATGGAAGTAACTTAATTTGTATTTTTACGATTTTTATAATAGTCGGTAAAAAAACATAAAAGAAGATCTTAATTATCCAGCAGTATTTTCTACAAAGATCAGAAGTAATTGATGAATTCGAACTTCCTTTTCATTTTGATAGCCTTTTCATTTTTATTTTTGTATATTTATTTTTTTTTATTGATTTTTATTAGTATTTCCGATTGTTTTATTGTATTCCATACTTTTAAAATAAATTTAAAGATAAAGTGCCTTTGTCTACATTGATGTGGATGTGGATGCAAAAATCACAGCCCGAATTGCTTTATTTTCCAAAATATCACTTAAAAAAAGTCATCATACCACATCAAGTATTCTGTAATTTAATGAATATTGTGAGTAATTTTCAGAGCTCTAAAATAACCCACCAAATAGTCTTTTAAGCCCACTGTGCGACACCCGCATACCAATGCATGGTCGTGGATCCGAACCAGTTTTCCGCTGCTTGTGCTGCCAGTTGTCGCCGGGCAGCTCCCGTGGAAGGTTCGCTTCGTTTGCTTTGCGGGAAACCCACATCGATTTGAAAATAAAATTTTGCCCACCAACAAAATTGGTTTTTTCAATTGCCAATCATTGTATATGAGAAACAAGAAGAAACCGCAAAGAAATACGACGCGACGTGCTGCCAATAAAATCAATCTAAATCAAATAAATTATCTAAATAAAAAGTATGTGCATCAAACCAACCAATTACCAATGAAACCAAATTCAAGAATTAATATGTCGGCGGAAATATGAAAACAAACGTGTTTGGCATCTCAGATGCGAAAGCTACGCGCCAAGAAAAATATTGTATAAATAATAAGAACCCCAACCGACGTCAGCAAACAAACTGAAACGCCAAACAGCCAATAAACGGCACGAAAAGTGGCCAAGAATCGGTGCGAATGCCAAAAGATACTTTTGTATCTTTCGGCATGCACTTTGCAGTTGTCAGACCCTCTCGGCCGCACTACCCTCCCACCCTCCTTTAAAGATATCAACCGATCCACACCGTGTTTATTGTGCGAAAGTAAAAACTACCTGCAACAGACTTCAGCATCAGACCTGAAAAATAAAAACCCGAAAAAGAAAACCAGTTTTGTGAAAATTATTGACTGAGTGCTGCTCTTGTGTTGGTTTTTGTTTAGTTTTTTCTTATTTATTATTATTATATTTAGCTTCTTTTTGCTATTTTTTGGCTGGAGCACTCCTTTGTCGATTGTTGAAAGGAAAATGGTAATAATAACTAGCCAAAATTGGCGGCTGCCAGCGACAGATAGAGGAGTCATAAATTAAGTGAGCGGAATGGCTAGTAATGATAAGAAATGCAATTGCGGCAGGCATAAATAACCAAAGGTGTCAATAGGTTATTGGCTCTAAAAAACAGACTAAGGTTTAATGGCTTGTAGATTTTGACAAATACCTTTACGATCAGAGTCCGAAATTGCGAATTTTCTTTGAAAATGGGGCTTTAACTTTTAAACATTAAACAGAAACCCAACACAAGACTAAAACTTTAGAGACCTTTAAACTTTTATAAGTTTTTTGCTTGGAAAGTTTCCTAATTGCCTTAGCCAGAGCCTAATGGAAAAACCTCCTTCACTTCTCCACCCACAGTTAACTCAATCTCAACTCAAAAAGTGCAACATTCCCCATAAATAATAAGCAAGCGTTGCAGTTAAGTTACCGCTAAATCCAACGATCCAAGCCAAGAGCTTGGCAACAACAAAAGCAACAATATATCTTAAAATTCTACGGCTTAGACTAAGTTAAAGAACGGAAAATGCTCATGCACCATACCACATCCACATCGATATCCGTATCCACAACGTCGACGGCGACCATGACCAACTCGTCATCCTCGGCCACGCCCACCCCGGGCTCGACCTCCTCCAACAACAGCGCCACGCTGGAGACGCTCCACCAGCAGAATCAGCACCACCACCAGCAGCAGCAGCAGCTGCAACAACAATTGCAGCAATTGCACACGAATGCAGCGAACAACTCCCGTCCACCCTCCCGGGCCCCCTCCATACTCGACAGTCCGACACTGGCGCGTGTGGAGCGGGCACGTCTGCGGTTGGAGCATCAGGAGCGGGAACGGGGACGGGAGCGTGAGCGTAGCAGCCAGCGTGAGGGGGGAAGCTCCGGCACCGGCAGCACCGCCACAACCATGAATCGTGAAGATAGCCTGGAGCGCAGTGTTTTGGATCCCAAGGTGAGTTCCTACAACTTTCCAGCAAACACACACAGACACTCACACAGATCATAGGATATAAATTACAATTAAGGGTGGCGGGGACCTGTGAGCAGGAGAGGGGGGAGGATTTGATAATGAAGGTACCAAGTACCCAAGTAACCTGGTCCATTATCGCCGCAAAATCATCTTGGGAATCTGTTCGGGCCATATACATATATTTTTATCTTTTAATTTATTGAAATTTTTCGTCAACTAATTCTCGGATACCTTGAAAGCTTGATAAATGGCCGAGAGAAGATCTTTTGTATTTCCTTCAGGGAAATTCCTCAAATTCTCTGAAAGATATATTTATAAAGCTTACGTCATATAGAAATAAATAAGAGACTCTAAAATTAATTAGAAATAGAAGGAGATTTACCAAAGCAATTAGTTGAGAAGTTTCTTTAGTTTAATTACATTCTAAAAACCTTCAAGTCTATCACGTTTGCTTCTAAAATCACAAACCTGATTAAAGTCTGATATTCTGTTTAGAGTACAGTTTCTCTAGAGTCTAATCTCTCTGGTTTTTTAATCAAATACTCTTCCCATAACCTCTACATTCTAAAATATTTAAATAGCTTTTTTTATCCCCATCTAAAGCCCCAATGATGTATCGCCATGCCTGATCCCTTGAATGTTCAATTAGATATTCGACCTCTTCAATCCCCATAAAGCTCTTATTAGATTTGCTCCATAACCAAAACAAATGTCTCGACAATGCTGCAAATTAGTGGTTACCTTACACTAAAACCGAATGAGGCAAGCTTTTTCCAGAGGAAGGCCCAAGGAAGCCATTAGAGGATGGAGAGAAGATGGCTAAACCAAATAAGCCATATACACATTTTTTTGCTGGCCAAGCCGCAGTTCTTGACAGGGCCATTTCACTAATGGCCCAAGTCCCCCTGGTCCGCCTCCCTGGGCTCCCCTGGAGGCTATAGGTGACTGACTGCCCGTCTGAGAGGACTGTCCGAAGACGACCTTCTGGCTATATGTAAATGCTTTTTATTTTGTTATTATTTTGTTAACGCTCTTATCGCAGGCGGTTTTTTATCTTGACGGTACCGGCCGGGTCTCATCATCTGGCCAAAGCCTCTTAGGCTCTGCTCAATTTTTATTTCTTTAAAGCTTACTGGTTACGAGAACCGAGGGCTAGCCGGGTTTCTGTTGGGCTGGCCAGGTAGGCTAGCTAGAACCATGTTGCTCAGGTAGGAAACATAAACTGAGATAATGAATTGCGAAATATATCTATTAGGCAGACAATAACAATGGCGATGGCGCTGGCGCTGGGTCGTAGTTCTTAGATATCATAGAACGAACATGGAATTTAGATAGGATTTTGTGAGACCTTATCTCGATGGTGGACGGGAAGTATTTATCTTGGAACAAATGTGAATGATTGGGGAGATAATGCCAAGTATCACGGGGAAATACTGCATGCCATAAGCCATTTATCTCTGGGTTATCTTTGCGTTGGCTTGCCCAACCGATTCACAGTTCTTACATCACATCATCAATTCTGTTTGGCCCTGGGCCAAGCCAAGACTGATTACCTGGGCTCTGGCGAAATGGGCTTTTCGGCCCTCTCCTGCAGCTTGTCAAATCGTAACAAATTGTACGTAAGAGTTTTTCGGCCCAAATTGCCTGCATAATTCGAGAAAACTTCTTCTCAGCCCTTAGCTGCAGTTTGCTTTTGGCAAACTACTCTATTTTTTATTCCTTGTGCCTACGTACCAATCGATGGCGTCCCTTGGTCTCCTAAATCTTGCAGGATTTTCCCCCAAAAACTTTGGAATCGATATTGTAGATTGCGCAAGGCTTGAAAATGTTAGCAGGTCGCTGGCGTGTGTCAGCCTTTTTTGGGGGCAGAAAGGTAGAATCTCGGAGCGTTGAACCCGCGCCAACAGAATACAACACCTCAAGTGTCCGACCGACTGCCGTCGAGTCATAATTAGTCACACTTAAAAAGGCATTGGCCCAAAGACAACGCGGCCTGTTGCCCGTTAGTTGGCCATGCGAAATATGAGCAAAAGTGCGGCAGACGCCATCGAGCGAAGACAAAACCGGGGGCCAAAAGCGGTAACCAGAGAGTCGGGAAATGGGAGTGATGGTTATAAGAAACACTTAAAGAAAATTACATTAGGTCCTACAATAATTTTATAATGAATTAATCAAATAAACATCCTCCTTTTTATCGCATTTTAGTTCAATAGTAATTTTTATAAAAGTCTTATTCCTTTATATCAAAGTTCAGTACTACTTTCATCTCTCCAAGTGTAGGAAGCGCCAGTCTAGGGGGCCAAAATGGAAAGCCAAAGAAATCTGAAAACAGCAAAAGCAAAGCTACGTGCCCGCCAGCCAAAGAGCCGGACTATGTGGCTCTATGTGAGATACATTGTACTTATATTTGACCCACACAGAGTGTCTCTTAGAGTCCGGCGAGTCGGAGTTGGAGTTGGAGTCCGAAAAGACCGTGTCCATCTTGCATCGTTGCACTCGAGTGCAGTTGCAGAAGGGCCAACTCAGGGCGCATCTGGAGCAGAAAGGTGGTTCCAGTGAAAAGACCGACCCCCCTTTAGAGAGAAATCTCTTTCATTTCTATTTTCATCGTTTTGCATGGCAATTTTTTTCATAACGACCCTTAGCAATGTTAGGAGGACCCAGTGCCCACGTAAACAATTTCAATAAATTGTACATTCAATGTCAATTTATTTTCTGCTCTTTTGGCGCGCAATTCAATTTAACGGCACACATTCCACACGAATATATGAAAATGTTATGTTCGCCACTGTTCTGTTGTATTCTGTGTTTTTGCAACAAATTAAAAATAACAAAAAAAAATGTACAAAAAATGAATGATAAATGAAAAGTACATGTTTTTTGTACTTTACATGGCTGAATGCACAGAGAGGCCTTAGAAATGGTCAGCAAATGCGAGTGTTGTGTTGAGTGTTGAATGGTTGCTGGTTTGGGTTCAGTTGAGTTGGGTTTCGGTTTGGATGAATGAGTCAGAAATGGAGGGATTTGTGTTTAAAAAGAGGTAGGGGAAGATCAGCTGAAGAAATGGGTGAGGTAAGATCCACTGGGGTCTCATAAAGTTTGCAACAAATCACAAATCAAGAGATGAATCATACTTAATTGAACAAATGCAAAAGTCAGGTATTAATATCAATGATTTTTGAGATGACACATCTACTATATTTCCAACTAGACTTAATTATATCTAATACATAAAATAGCTAGAAAAGAAACCTCGTGTGAACTAGAAACTATTCCAAAAACGCGTAATCTGATCTCGATTTAACCCTTCCCTTCAATTAGTTGGCCATAAATTCGGCTATAAATAGAAACACCAACCAAAGTCCGTACAAGAAATGGGGTAAAGAAGAACTATAACCGTAGACCTAGTAACCGCCAAAAGGTAAATAAATAAATATAAAATAGAATTTCAGTGGGGTTAAGCCACGCTGCAGTCGGGTAATTTGAGTAGTTTGGCCATTTGATTTTCCGAATTGCCATCCAACACGCAAGGCCCCGAAAAATCGTTGAATAAATCGAGAGACAAGTGAGCGCCACACACATTTCTCTTATCGGGGCAGCCAGAAAATGGAGCTAACCCCCTCGGAAACCCCTTGGATAAACTAAACGTAAACTAAACAAACAAGACGAGAGAAATATTTTTGGGGGGAAAACGCTAGTCGAGAAAAGACAAAAGCGATGCAAAGACGACACGCAAGAAATGCGTAAAAATAAAATTGAGACAAGAAAAAAAAGAAAATAATACAGAGAAAATCATTTCATTCAACCCCACCCACTGCCCACCGCCTAACGCCCCCAAACACACACTCCCCACACCACACCACACACACACACACTCGGAGTGGCAACCCCTCTTCGGGGCTTTCATTCATAAAGGCGAAAAAGAGAGGAAAACTTTAGCGGAAAATATGCTCCACAATAAAATATACAAATAAATGGCTGGGCTTAATGCAAATAAAAGGGGACCGAGGAGGCTGAGGAGCCTTGATAGGCTCTTTGAGAGGCTGCATGGATGGGGGTGGTTAGCCAGCCTGCCCAGAGGCAGCTGCTGTCAGTTCGCGAGGGAATTTTCCAGTCAAGTCGGAAAAACCAAATGGCACACAGAAGTGCAATTTCTGTTACCGAATTGGGGTAAAAGGGGAGCCAAATCACAAATGCAAAAAAAGGAAATGCCAATGGAAAATGTTTTTCTTTGTTTTTCCCTCTTAAAGCTAATTTTTGGGTTACATTTTGTTTTTGGTTTTTGGTGGGGAATCTGAAAATTGCATTAAATATTTTTGTGGCTTTTACTTTTATTGGGTCTGGCGGAACGTTTTGATGTTGGGATAGTAGACATCTCCATTTGGTTTCCCTCCAAACGGGCGTGAAAAGTGATACATCACAATTAATCTGCTCCACAGTGACCCACTAAATTCCGCAGACATCACATCTGTAATTCTTCTTTTTTTTTAATGCATTTTGATAGATTGCATTAAGTGCATGGAGCTTGTAAATTGGGAGTGTGAAAGGGTTGACCTCGGGGGAAGATCAGAAAACTGTGTTAACCAGCAAATGGTTCAATTTGTTCGAAAACGAAAAAAATTTTAATTTATTTTGTATACTTGTTGGAACATAAAGAAACATATGGTGGGCTTGTTATGTCTGCTGCCTGCTTATATAGCCTGCAGTTGCTTTCTTTTAAATATTTTGGGTAAACAAATTCAAGAAGCTTTCTTCTGGATATCTATTATTAAGCCAACCCTAGAAAATATCTTCCCATACTACCCATCATTTTCAAGGCCCTATCTGGAGGCTTTGTCAGCTTCCTCGTTTTATGCGAAGACAGCAATGTTGTGTTTTCTTGGAGAAATGTTTCTTAGGAAATCTCTCAAGACAATGGCAACGGCATACAATTTGCATATTACATCAACATGTTGCATGCCGGCACAGTCAAGATTGCAGTTTGTTGCCGTTTCTACTGTTGCTACTGCACAGAAATGTTGCATATGCAATTGAGTTAAGCGCCCTCCAGCACCGCCCCTTAAAGTTAAACGAGGCATGCCAACAAGATGCATGCAGCCAAAGATGATGTGGAAGACACTGTCGGCAGCTGCCGCATTGCAATCAAGTTGCAAGTTGCTGTTGCTGTTGCAAGTCGAATGCGTGAGTAAGGCAGGCATTTGTTTCCCAAGTTTGCAACTATGTGGGGGGCTGCTGCTGCAACATGCACTTGCCTCACTTAAAGCAGGTCTTAGGCATTAAATATTCAGCAAAATATCGGCATAGGCCTTTGGGGGCCACGCCCCATTCTGCCCCAGTCTACGGTGCAACACAACAAAAATTATTCATTGCTCTCTGGCTTTGTGTATAATTTCTTTATAATTGCCATTTCCCGTTTTAATGAATTGTTTATACTATAGAAATACAAAAAGGGAGTAACAGAGCAAGGGAGAGAGGTTCATGCAATAAACCCGGGGTCATGGCAACTGCCACAATATGCAGGCACATGTGTGTGTGCCTCAGAATGGGGCAGCCCAAAACACAGACCCAAGCCCACACACAAATACTCGCACGAGCTAAGGGGCAATTGCTGGCTGACCATTTTCATTGCTTCCGTTCTCCACTTGTCATCCACTGAAAGAAACTGCACCCTTTCTAGGGTTTTTGCTAACCCAAAACTATATAGTTTTCATTCAGATTTTTTGTCAGTGTCCCCCAATGCACTTAACTCTTTTTTTGGGGGTAGGTTGCTGCTATGTTGCAGCAACTGTTTGCATGACAAACGGAAATTGTTTTCATTTGATTAGTGCGAACTGCGTGTAAGTAGTGTGTATGTGTTTGGGGTGTGAGTGGCATGTTCCACATACGAGCAGGGCTTTTTTCCCCCTGAAATGGGGGTTCTTTGGATACCAGGAGAACCGACCCCCTAACCATAACCATAACCGCATTCAGCTACAAGGGCACAAACTCTTAATGCATTTGCCGACCGCATTGGGATTTCCAACATAAATTCTACTGATCAAGATAATGACGTGATGATGATGGGGCTGAAGGTGTGTTGTCCAGCCTAGACGTTGTTTTTTACGAGCTTTTAATGGTATAATAGGACCAAGGAGTGCTGCACTCACACATCATTAAGGGTGGAGTAAACTCTAATGGTATTATGTGGAGTAGAGTAATTCATCATCGTACTTTAAGTCTAGTTTTCTAGAATTTTACTATCCACTTTAAAAGGAAGAAGTTTTTATTGAAGTTGTAGTCCCCCACTTTAATGCAAATGACTCACTTAAATGGATCGATTTCTTCAACCCTATTAATAGTTCACCTACCTCAACAACTGTGCTCATAAATTTTCTTTGGAATTCGATACGCTTTCTTGTCTCCTAACTTGTCGATCAAATTAGTCAACCCAATCGGGCCAAATTCTTATAATTATTACGAAAGCTTATCAGCTGCAGTCGGGTAGTACTCCATCTATATTGGCCTCTTATCGTGGAATTCTGGTTTTTATTTTAAAACACAGCGCCGGCGGCAATGAGCCGCCACCCGATGGCCCAAAGTTGACATCATACCAACTCGCCAGTAAAATAAAACCCAAACCAGGCAAATAGAATTAAAATTGGTAGCACACTTGGCTTCCTATGACATCATAGTTGGGCGAATGCTCTTGGGGGAGGGTGTACTGAATGGGAATGGGAAGAGGGTGACGAGTGCTAAGTGGGTGCCAAGTGCGTGTGGATATCATATGTTGTAAAAAAATATAGCACAGGAGTAGGGGTTCTTCTATTCGAAATGGGGGGATAATATTAAAGATAAGAAACATTTTTTTATAAAAATACATTTAAATACCAAAATATTATAATAGAAACACAAACCCACAGTATACAACTATACAAGTTTTTGTATAATTTTAATAATTATAAATCAGTTTCTATTATATTCCAAACTCTATAAAGAGACCTCTAAAATATATAAATTTTAGTTTAAATAAGTTGAAAATTGGCAAAAAAAATTAATTGACTATAAAATTCCCATTTATTTCTGTTTTTTTCGTACCCCCCACACAAACTCAAATGAAAACCCAAAACCAAAACAAACCTCTCTCTTACATAACCGCAAAAAAAAATGATTTACTCAATACCCGCCCCGCGTTTCTACCTTTCCGCCCACAAACAAACAACAACAACAACAAATACTATCGACAACCAACCCAACCACCCACCCACCGACAAATGAAACCCCAAATGAACAACGAATTTAGAAAGAGACGGCGCCGTGGCATCAGATGTGGACGCATATGAAACGCCTCTCGCACGCCTCCAAAGTAAATTCGACGAGCAGCCTGACCGCCCAGAAAACCGATGTGGGCGTGGGCCATCCCCACCAGAATCTGACACCCGGCAATGCAACAAACCCAACAGCCACATCAACGCCCGGGAAATGCATTCTATTCCCGGATAAGACGTCCTCCCTGAAAAGCTCTATGTATACGCAACAGGTGTACTTCAGGCCCGATATGGTACGATCGCATTTTCCCGATATTTAGATAATTCCTAGTTTCCTTAAATAGAGTTTATTGGCATGGTTTTGGACTTGATTGGTTCTTGGTTTCCTTTTATTTTTAGCAAACTATTCGCTTTGATTTCACTTTAATGGCACTTTCCACCAATTCCCCACAAAAAAAAACTTTGGCTAATGGTTTAACTTGATTTTTTTAATATTTTTTTGTTGGTTTGGATGTTATACAATTTAGTTTAATCCTGGCCTTTTGTAGTTGAATAATAATCCCTGATGGAAGCCTTTTTTTTATGCATCCCATAAACCCTCAAAGAATCAGCGTTGCATTAAATGCAGTGTGAAGCAGCTAAAAAATATATGTGAATGCAATAATCATAATCGTAGCCATAATAATCTTCATAAACCAACGACATAGCAAAATGCCAGCAATTGACTTTGCCAAGGCAACCACCACCCAACCACCCAACCACCCAACTACCCAGCCATTATACCGCCCTCCCACATCAAACTCAGTGTGCACCACTGCACCATAGCAGGGGGCAAGTGCACCATGAAATCAGTAAGCATGCAAAGTTGAGCATTACAAGGGGTTACCACAGTGTTCTCTGGCTAAGAATTTAGTTTACACAGATATAAAATATTAATAAAATATAAATAGTTATAAAAAGAAGACTTTGTTATAAACTGGAAAGCCGAATCTTATATTTTCCAAATAAATCTTTACAAGCCCATAAAAATGTCATATAATTTTTACTGTTTACCAAATCTACCATGAACTTTCCTAAAAAGCTGCCGACATTACGCAACCCCAACTTTTAATATGCAATACACAATATTAAAGTATTTCCCTGCTGTGCCAGCAACATGGCAACAAATTCAGTTTGACATTTTGCCTGGCATTTCTACTAGCAAGCTAGAAATATTTACAAGCTTTTACAGCGTGTACGTGCGGCTGTCATAAGCTCCAAGATAAATCAGCTCAGGGTCGCAGAGTATCTATTTAGCCGGTGGCGGTCAACATGTTAGAAGCATAAACAAATCTCCAAACGAGAAGAGATGCCAAGAATCCGAATTACAACCCAGCTGGAAGACCGGGGTAGTTTCAGTTGAAAAGCGTGAAGGTGTAGGTCGACATATGCAAATTGCACTTTAGGAGTTTCTGGTCGATTGTGGCTCATTGTTTAGCAGCTGACATTTAGGTGGACAGGGTAAAAAAACAAAGAAAAACCGGCTAGAGCCGCGTCCAAGCCGGCCGCTTTATTTTCAAAAAAACTGAGAGGAAAAAAAACCTGTACAACTTCGTTATTCTTCTTATTTTTTTTTCAATATCAAGACACATTCGAAGCTTCATTAACATAATTGATGCGCCATTGAGCGGCTGGCTCTGAGCCATTATATTGTCTTCATGGCTTGGAGTAGAGCGAATCGTTGGACAGGTTTTCCGGCGCATGGGCACCACCACCAATCGACCACCGAACGAACCACCGCCCCACAATACCCCAACCGGTTTACGATCAGTCGTCAGTTACAGACAGTCCCCGACATGGAGCTCTGTAATTTTCAATTTCATTTCGAGATCTCGGGGCTGACAATTCGCTTTTTTCGGCCGCCGGCTGAAGCCAAGAAGAACCAGCTCTAGCTGTCAGCTTTGGGCCAAGTTAAGATGATGAGTGGTGGAAAACGCACAAGTTATCGAGTTGCTTTCAAAACTGTTATTTATCCGAGTAGAGTGTATAATGGTATATAACGATTGATAAGTGAATGCTAGAACGGCGAATGGCAATCGATACCCATCCAAGTGGGTCATTAAAACGACTGTGATGTCAGAATAGGCAAAGGCTTTTCAATAAACTTGGATAAATTTATTAGGTAAAATTAATGGGAAAAAACTATTACATGTCCGAGCTGTAAATCTCAATAATAATTTAATTTTTTGCAAAAGGCCAGCTGTCTATTATTCATATAAACCACATCATATAGAGAGGGTGCTCCCAACCGTCTACCAGCAGGCTATTAATTATGGCATCTGCTGCTTGATATGCGGGCAGCTGCTAAAAGTTAATGAAATTTTGCGGTTCCGAGCATTTGACTTACATAAAATGGCTAAACGATATCAATCAAATTCCCTTCTTTTTATGTTATTACATGATTCGATTTATAGAGCAGAGAGCCAGGAAAAAAAAGGGAGAAAAGCCTCCAAGGCAAACAGGTTTCGGCCAGACCAAGTCTGCCGCAGGAAGATAAATGGCAAACACAAAAAAAATAAAAGAAAGGATGGAGAATAATATCCCCATAATGCAGTCGCGGCATCAGCAAAATCTATATAAAGGCAATTTATTTTGGAGTGGGATAGGACTGGAGTGCAGTAAAATGAAGGAAAAAACAGACAAGGAGAGCTGCGACATAAAATAAAATTCAATTCAAAGTCATTTTTCTTTGTGGCAGTTGGAAAATCATATTTGATTTGGCCGCCAGCGTTATACTTCAGATATGCCACATATAATTCAGCACTAAAATCTATACCCCGGGGAGCGGAAGTAAATTTTTTAAGGGGAGGGTAAGGTCAAATCATGCGAAAAAAGCCATTTTTTTGTGACTTTTTTCCTGACGGCACAGTTAAAATTTATTTATTCAACCAACGGTATATTAAAGTATGACATTAGAAGAATGTTTTATCAAATTTTTACAAAAAAATATTTTAAAAATATGGCAATGGTAGCAATTGTCCGGACGTGTCGCCAAAAAAAGTTGAATTGCGGTGCCCCTCATAACTCGGTGCTGGATCATTTGTAATCAAAAATGAAAGTTCATTCGTTAGATAATAGTTCGCCCCAGGTAACGCTGTGAAGGTTTTTGAAAATTGCAATTTTTAATTTTTCGAAGACTTTGAAGTGAAAAACTCAATTTTTGGGGAAAAATCGGTTAATTTGTCATTGCAAAATCAAAATTATGAACAAAAAAAAAACTCGACAGCGTTACCTCGTAAAATATGTACAGAAATAGTGTTTAAAATTTCAAAAGGATCGGTGCAGTAGTTTTGAAGTTATGAGGGGCACCGACTTTGAAAACGTGAGTTGTGGGAAAAACGCTTTAAAGTTTTAAACACAAAAAAATCCAGTGTAAAACGTTTATGAGCAACTTCGTCAATAACTAATAACTTCGTCAATTTTGCTTTAATTGACTTGAAATTTTGACACAATATTCTTCAAATATTATGCATTCAATTTAAAAAATAAAAAAAAAATTAAAAAAAAAAAAATTTAATACCTTACCCTCCCCTTAAAACATTTCCAACATATTCGATGAAGAAAAACCAAGCCAAAATCCGAAATCCGACACAGGAAACTGGCAGCTGTTCTCGAAAACGAGAACAATGGATTGGCCATGGCTATTGATATTGGTAACCGGCAATATTCACTTGATTCCTTTTTGGCCAATTTTTTTTTTTTGTACTGCTTGGTTAGTGCACCTCTGCTGACCCGTGTGTGCAATTGTCCCCGAGTCCTGAGCCGGCTTTGTTGCATTTCGGGCATGACAGGGAAATGTTTTCTTTTATTTTTTTCCTTTTTGCCTGTGACCTGTGACAGTTGAATGGGTAGAACCGAGGCAGACAGTCGGTGGAAGCCACCACAACTCAACTGATATTAATTTTGTTTACCTTGATGACTTCAGTTGTACCCCCCGTACACCGAGAACGAAAAAAATTGCATTGAATACGTTGTCCAGCCACATGTTACTTGCTTGTAAATATTTAATTGAAATCGATACGAAATTCCATTTAGTTTCGAGCTCCCACGACTTGCTGTCTGTGGGGCCAAATTTAATTTGTGACTCTAGAGCTAGTGCACTTCAAAGCCACCGCACTTAGGTGGCCACCACCGCCCCAACTCACCCACTTTCATTTATTGGTCTTCTTCTCAGCTAATTAACGGCCTGACCCTAATCACTTAAGAGTTTACATAAAGCCCCAAAAGCCCCCAGTTCTCGCAATGACGCAATTCTCACAGAATTTTGTATCTTTGGAAATTGCATCAAGAGAGCTTGACAAAAAAAAAAGTTGCACCCGCCCCGATAAGATAAACCTCTAACGATAAGTTCGTTTCGGCCTGCGACTCCCAAGTCAGAAAATAAAACCAAAAGCTTAAACAAATTTCGTCAAAGTAGATCTCTAAGTTTGTATATGGCCACGCGCTAAAATACTGAAATAGACAAAAAATTGTTTAGCCTTTTTTGGCCGACCTGCCGAATATGGAAAAATTACTCGAAAAATATTTCAAGTTTCGTTTAAGTTTGAAATTTTGATTGTGGGCCGATTTTAGAGGCGACATCTAAAATGTTCGGCTGTCAATAGGAATTATTCAGAGTTATTTATGACGATGACTCGGGCCTTGGGAGGCACTCTGAGAATTGTGTTAACCATCAGGTAGAATGGTACGTATTCTTTATCTTGTTAGAGCAGACTACCATCTACCACTTCCGCCTTTCGAAAAATTCCTCTAATAATTATGAAAGCCGATCCCCCCCAACGGCCAATTACAGACGCCACTCACTCATCGGGCGCGAACAATGCAACGCTTTGTTTCCATCCGTTCAGGGTCAATGTGTTGCATGTTGTATGCTTGTGACTCTGTGTCTGCACCACCCAGACATCTAAAATCGAAGCTGACACCAAGCAAAAGATGAAAAGCCTTTTCCTTCTCAAAATAAACCAGCGAAAAACGGAAACATCTGCGGCCACCGAATCGTTTTAATGGCAGTTGCATATATTTTTTTTTTTCGCCAGACAAGATCAACGATCTGGCAGTCCTACCATATCTAGCAATTAATGGCAAAGAGTTCGCTAACCCTCAATAAAAACATTAATTTCGCACTCAATTAAATGTCACAAACACACACTCGAATTGTACATTCTGGTTCCGCTTGGTGATCTGACTGCGCCATCATCCTTGGCACTTGACTCATTTTTCAGCAAATTATTAACATTCTTTTCCCATTTTATTT